CTTCGGCTCAGGTCATGATCCTGGAGTCCCGGGATCGAGTCCCGCATCGGGCTCCCTGCTCGGCGGGGCGTCTGCTTCTCCCTCTGACCCTCTTTCCTCTTGTGCTCTCTCTCATTCTCTCTCAAATAAATAAATAAAATCTTTAAAAAAAAATAAATAAAAAAATAAAATCTTTGTCTAGTAAGCCCAATATTTGAAAGTCCTCAGGGACATTTTCTATTGATGACTTTTCTCTGTGTATGGGCATGCATTTCTGTTTCTTTGCATGTCTCATAATTTTTGTTGTTGTTGTTGGGAACATGACATTTTAAATAATGTAACAAGTCTAAGATCTCTTGCCCCTTCAGGGTTTGTTGTTGCTGATTGTTGTCATTTTTTTGCTTAGAGAATTTTCTGAACTATTTCAGTAAAGTCCGTTTTTTGTTTTTGTTTTTGTTTTTGTTTTTGTTTTTGTTTTTGTTTTGGTGGCCACTTATGTCCTCGCTCAGTTAGCTTAGTGGTCAGCTAATGGTTAGACAGAGATTCCCTTGAATACCTGAATCTCCCAGTTTTTGCCAAGGGGCTCTGTGTGGATGTTGAGTTATCCCTTCAACACTCAACCAGGAAGTTGACAACTCTGTCTTGGGCTTGATACCAGCTTGAGCAATGTCTCAAGATAAGCTAGATGTGCTTAGGGCTTTCTTGTTTTTTTTTTTTCCCATGCAATGCAGCCTTAGTCCTATGCATAGCCCATAGAATGCATATGGCCTTTTAGATTTTCAGGAATATGTTGGAGCTTTTCAAAGCCCCCTATAGATATCTAATTCTGGAGTTTTTCCTTTTAAACTTTCTGATGAGCTTAATGTTTGCCTCAAATGTTTGCCCACCCCAGGCAGATGCAATATTAAACGATTGCCTGTTATTTTCAACCAGTCCCCCTGAGGAAAGGCTGTTCACCCAGGCTGAACTGTGAAATCAAGTCAAATAAAGATAATCTTGAGAGGAGAGTCTTCCAGGGAATCAACCAGGTAGTTCAAACAATGACAATTCACTGAGAATGAGGCTTTAAAGGGACTTTATGCTCCTTCCAGTGGCTGCCAGGATACTGGTTTGCACCGTGATAGCATGCTGTTGATTTTTTTTTTAAGTTTTTATTTATTTATTTGATAGAGAGAGAGAGAGAGCACAAGCAGGGGGAGCTGCAGGCGAGGGAGAGGGAAAAGCAGGCTCCCCGAGGAGCAGGACAGGGCTCGGAGCTCAATCCCAGGACCCCTGGATCATGACCTGAGCCAAAGGCAGTTGCTTAACCAACTGAGCCACTCAGGCGCCCCTAGGCTGTTGATTTTTAAGGCAACTGCAGAGCTGAGAAGGAGGAAGTGAGAATAAAGCAAGTTAAAATGTCATAAAGCTCAGTTTTTTTTCTTTTTAACTGAGATTTGGCTATTATTTTTTTGAACAAAGTCTCCCTGGATTGCGCCAAGATTTTGGTTATTTTCCGGAGTTCCGAAATAGTTAATTCTGACAATTTTTTCAGTGTTCACGTTGCTTTCACGGAGGAGAGGATTTTCAGTGCTCCTTACTCTGCCTTACTTCTGGATATTCGATTTTTGACTCTTGATTAATTTATGATGGGCTGACTCAAGTATGAAATTCTCCCTGGAGACCCCATAGGGTTAATTTCTTTACTGATAGTTGTCAACTAGATTTATGGGTCTGACAAACCTGTCTTGATTATTTAAGGGAGTTCTCTAAGAGCTTCTCCTTTGAGCTCCTTGAGCTCCTTCCTGTAAACAAGATTCTTCTCAGAGATGTTGGCAGTTTAGGCTGGTGACACAGCACGACCCCTATTTATGCAAATAAGGGCCTTAGGGAGTTGGCACAGGAGATGTCTCTCTGACCTCCAGTACTTACCTGTATTCTCTTTTTCTTGCTGCACCATATTCTTTGCCTTTAAATAAAAGCCTATGTGAAGATACCCTGTGGAGTCTGGTGAATCCTTTCAAATAACCCAATCTTTGCAATGGTGTATCCATACAATGCAGCTGTAGATAAGACTGTGAAAGATCTCTGTGGACTGATATGGAAAGATACACAGAATATACTATTAAATGAAAATGCAAGGGACAGGAGGGTGTTTTAGTACACTATTTTTTACATAAGAAAGGGGAGAAATACAAGAGTATTTAATTGTATTTGCTTGATTTGCATAAGGAAACACAGGATACACACACATACACACACAAACTATTAAAAATAATTACGAAAGCAGTGGAAGCCAGATATCTCAACATAAATTTCCATACAGTTTTTATTTTTGGTCCTTATGAATATATCACCCATTCAAAAAAATTTAAATTTTCAAAGTAAATGAAGAAAAAAGAAAAGAAAATTAATCATATGGCCCAAGGGGAATAATAAAGTATTACAGAAGTTCATAGTAAGTACCAAGATATAAAGATGGAAGAATAATAGACACGCCAAAACATAAGCACCCACAACAAAAGGAAATAGGTGCAAAGGCACAAAGGCCAAGTCCCACTTGGGTAGCATATAAAGCCTTAGATCATTGCTTTAGTTTAGGGTTCCTGAACAGCAGAAATGATGACATTCTGGGCAAGATATTTCTTTGTTGTAGGGGGCTGTCTTGTGCACTGTAGGATGTTTAGCAGTATCCTTGGTCTTTACTCACTAGATACCAGTAGCAACCCCCCCCCCAAAATTGTGACAACCAAAAGTCTCCCTACATTGGCAAATGTCCAGGGGAGAAGAGTCACCAAAAGCACCTCCGGCTGAGAATCACTGCTCTACCTGGTCTAAATAGTAAGTGGATTTTCTGAGCATCTCATTAAGAAATTAAAAAAAAAAAAAACTTTTAGTGAATGTTTTCCTGGCAACTGATCTATTTCCCAGAACTAGTCTTTCACTGAAATGTCAAAAATTTCATGTAATAGTATTTTCCAGTTCCTTTTAAATGAACATAAACATGATTCAGCGAGTGTATTAAGCAACTTTTGAGTGACTTAACAATTTATCAGAAATATTTTCCCTTTAAATAACATATTTCAACTGCTGCATCATTTGGTGTCATTTTATTACTTTGAATCTTTCTGTGCGGTAGGCGATTTCTACTTGTCTAATGATATCAGACAAATGGAATTAAAAGCTTGTATCTGCTTTTACACGTTTCAGTAGAGTTTTTTTATATAAAATCGAGGGGACGGACACCTCTAGTATGAATTTGAAGTAACTCTGTTAGGGACTCCTTTTCTTTCTTTAACCTTTCCTTGGGAGTCTGGAATCCTTCAAGAAATTGGCCAGTGGGCGGTAAGGACGATAATGAATGAGCTCTACATCTGTGAGAATCCTCATCTCACAATAACCTAAACCTTGAAGCCCCTGCTAGCTCAGTGGCTCATAGTGCTGGCAGCCTGACTTGCAGTGGGGGACACAGAAGGAGCTTTTTCTCCCTCCGCTCTACCCAGGATCTTCTGGGAGTGATGCAGGTGGCCATAATTATTCTTAAACACGATCGTTCCATTTCTGAAAAAAGCAAATCAAACCTGTAATCAGGAGACTGGTCCACAGATTACAGCACAGCCATCAGCTGGGAGTCAAGTCTCCTCCTTCCTCCCCGTTCTGTTCCGGAGGTTTATTTTTAATGTGATTAATTTCAGTTGGAGGAGCCGGGAAGGTCACATACCCCAGGAGAATCACCTTGGTTTACCCTATCTCTGAACTCAGGTGGAAGGGTTTCCTCAGTGGGTGGGACCTACAGTTCAAAGCAGGAAAGCCAAGACAGTTTTCTGGCCGAGATGGAAAAATCCTCTTCCTTCTGAAAGTCTAAAGACGGGGTACGCTCAAATAAGTCTTCGGCCAGCAAGTGAATCTCTAACCGCTCTCTCCTCTTCCCCAGCGCCTCCTGCGTACTTGCAACCCCATTCCCAATGCACGCGAGTGCGTGCGAGCAGACTCGGAGCTCGGCTCACAGGCCGGGAACTCTCCCTGGAGCACCCGCTAAATAGCAAACAGATGCCCAGCATGCCAAAGATCCCACCGACTGGGGCACCGCCTGGGACTCCCGGCCCGGCCGTTTCTGAATGGAGGAATGGCTGGCCCCACGACTGTTGCCTTAAACGAGCCGGTTTTGAAAGCAGAACATCCCCTTTCGCGGGGGCTCCCCCTCTCTACCCCGGAGCCGCAGAGGAACTCTCCCTGCCTTTCTGTCGGCCACTCCTCCAGGCCCACTTCCCAAGCTCCGAAACGCTCCGGGACCCCTGACCTGGTTGCCATCGTTGCACTCGCCTGCCCGGGCTGCGTGAGTCCCGAGCTGATTCAGGTGGCGAATTTAGGGCCCAACGAGCGGGCTCGGGGAGTTAGTTCTGATGGCGCGGATGTCCCCCCGAGGGTAATTTCAGAGCGCGTCTCCGGAAGCCCGGATCCTTAAGCCCCCTCACCTCACCCCCCAGCACTCGCATCCCCGGGTAGCGGCCAGCAGGTGTGCTATTGGCAGACCGTCCTGCAGTCAAGAAGCCGGAGTGTGTCCTGCGCTCGTCTCCTTTCCGACAACACTTGAAAGCGCGCCGGGGCGCACCCAACAAATCTCATTAATCCAAACATCCTCGTCCGAAGTGTCCCAAGTTCGAGTTTGGCCCGACGGTCCCCTTCCCGCGTCGACGCTGGAAGCCTCTTCTGCTAGGGCTTTCCCTTCGGACCCGAAGGGGCGCGCGCGGCGGTGCGCGGGATCCGCCTCTTCCCCGGGCTCTGGCTGGGCGGGGGTGGGTAGGCAGGGACCTGGATCTGATTAGCTGGGAGGGGGAAGCCGTGGTCCCAACCACTCGCTCCTGTCTCCCAAGCTTCTGGGGGAGGAGGAGGAGGAGGAGGAGGAGGAGGAGGAGGAGGAAGAAGAGGTGGAGAAGGGCCGAGACAGAGAGCAAGAGCCGGGGTCCCCATCACTGAGCACCCGGGTGAAGGTTGGAGCTACCGCCGCCGCCTTCCGGCTCTCGAGTCGCCCTCGCCCCGGGCCCAGCCATGGGTCCCCCTTCCAGCTCCGGCTTCTACGTGAGCCGCGCGGTTGTCGTGCTCCTGGCCGGGCTGGCGGCCGCGCTCCTGCTGGCGCTGGCCGTGCTCGCCGCCCTGTACGGCCGCTGCGCGCGAGTCCCGCCGTCGGAGCTTCTCCACCGCGGGGTCCCGGGCGCCGCGCCCTCCCGGCCCGGCACGCAGGAGGAGCCGCGGCCCACCGGGCACACCCGCCCGACCCGTGAGCCGGCGGGGACGACCACCCCGGGCAACGGGCGCCCTCCGGGACCCTGGGACCAGCTTCGCCTGCCGCCTTGGCTCGTGCCACTGCACTACGAGCTGGAGCTGTGGCCCCGGCTGCGGCCGAACGAGTCCTGGGCTCCGACGTTGACCTTCACCGGCCGCGTGAACATCACGGTGCGCTGCACCGTGGCCACCGCGCGGCTGCTGCTGCACAGCCTCTTCCTGGAGTGTGAGAGCGCCGAGGTGCGGGGTCCTCTCTCCTCCGGCACCGGGGACCGCACGGCGGGCCGCGTGCCCGTGGACGACGTGTGGGTCGCGTTCGACACGCAGTACCTGGTGCTGGAGCTCGGCGGCGCTCTGCAGCCCGGGGGCCGGTATGAGCTGCAGCTCAGCTTCTCTGGCCTGGTGTACCAGGATCTCAGGGAGGGACTCTTCTTCAACGTCTACACGGACCAGGGGGAGCGCAGGTAAGGGCAGGCCGGCCCGGGTCCCCTCCGCCCCCGCGCCCGCGTCCCCCGGCAGCCTACCTGCGTCCAGGGGCGCGTGCCCCCAAAGCCCCCATCACGCGGGACGCTTTCTTGTAGAGCCGAAAGGCGAGCGCCCCCTTCCTCCCCTTCCCTCCAGAAACCCTGCTTGTTTCCTGAGATTAAGAAACAGGGTTGTTGGAGTGATGGGGGGCGGGAGGGATGGGGTGGCTGGGTGATAGACATTGGGGAGGGTATGTGCTGTGGTGAGCGCTGTGAATTGTGTAAGACTGATGAAATCACAGACCTGTACCCCTGAAACAAAGAATACATTATATGTTAAAAAAATAGTAGGAAGGGAAAAATGAAGGGGGGGTATTGGAGGGGGAGAGAACCATGAGAGACGATGGACTCTGAAAAACAAACTGAGGGTTCTAGACGGGAGGGGGTGGGAGGATGGGTTAGCCCGGGATGGTTATTAAAGAGGGAACGTTCTGCATGGAGCACAGGGTGTTACACGCAAACAATGAATCATGGAACACTACATCAAAAACTAATGATGCAATGTATGATGATTAACATAACATAATACAAAATTTTTTAAAAAGTAAAAAAAAAAAAAAAAAACCCTGCTTGTAAATAGAGGCTACCAGACCGCCGTCCTCCCGCTGGTCGATTTTTAGCACCGTCCCAGCCCATCCAGTTTGTTTCTGTCCTTACCCTTTTAAGGTTGCTGCTACCCCCAGAAGCTTACCGTTGTCTTCAGAAAGCCCCACCTTTTGCTCTAATCCAGGATGGCTTCAGCCCCGTGAGCAAATCCCTTGCTACTCAAAGTTTGGTCCGCGGACTGGCAGCAGCTGTCAATCTGGGAGCTTGTTCGAAATTGCAAATTCCCCACCCTCGCCCGAAGGATCAGGCTGTGCGCTTTAAGATCACTGGGTGGTTTCTGGGTATGAACGCTGGAGAAGCCTGGGGCTGTCGCGCTCTTGTGCCCCGAGGTTCCCTCCCCGAGCGCGCCTCTGCGCCCAGGTCCCTGCTCTTTCTTCCTCGCTCTGTAGCTGCTGCTCTTGCAACAAAGAGACTCACGTCGGTGCAATTCTCATATTTTTCTTTTTTTCCTTTGCTGAGGTTCCCCAAAACTGAAGAATCCCCTTTAATTCATCCCCTCCCATCCCCTGCCTGGGGACCGAGTCTCGTTTTGTGAATGAGCCACAGCTTCGCCGACCCCTCCCAAGCTTTTGAATGGCTCTGCCGAGTATGGGGGAGACAGCGCTTTCGGGATTCCTTCCCTGGGAAGAAAATAATAATAACAACAACAGCGGTGACAAGAGACCTCCCCTCTGGGTTTGCAAGCTCACGTAGCATGCATGTGTTCTCTTTACACTCATTTGGGATAATGCTTTCCACACGGAATGTTTCCAGCTCAAGAATTGCCTCTTTCCACGATCTGGAACCACGTTACTGGCCTCAGGCGAGGGCCCCGGGGAAATCGTGTATGTGGAAGATACCTAAAAGTTCTTTCTTCAAATGCTCACCTGCTGGTGGAGCATCTGCGGTTTACACAACTGCATATACTTTGCCTTTTATTATTAGAGAAAATGTTCTCAGATGTTCCCGGAGGGAAAGGAACCTACTCAATTACCCCTTAAATCATCTCCTGCATTATTTTCAAAAAACTTCTGGGCTTTGGAAGTAAGTTTAATAAGCTGCCTCAGTGGGTGTGTAATCTGTAACTTTTATTTTTAAGGACTATATGCTTGGGCTTTTTTTCTTTCGAAAATGCACCAAGGCTTGAAAAATAGCTTTGGAAATTTTCTCATTAGGATGATATGTTACCAGATTTAAGGGCACAGGAAACCTTTTGCAATTACTGTGCGGGTGGTTCAAAGTGCAAGATTTTTCAGGGGGAAGAAAAGGACACTGCACGCACCTCAGAGTGTTTTCTGCTGTGAATTCAGTAAATCATTTGCTTACCCATCTCGTCCTTCTTCTTAATGAGGCCGTGGCCTGGATAGACTGCCCTCGGAAATATGGGAAATGAAATTCCCTTTCCATTTTTCTATTGTGTTGCCAACTCCAGTGGTAACTAGAAACTGTACTTTGAGAACATTAAAGTTCAAACAAGCAAAAATCCTAATAAAGTCCCCCAGATGTTCATAGACCAACTTAGAGTTCCCGACTTGTGGCATCTTAGAGGAGCTGTTAACTTGGAAATTGCTCCTCTGCATCTCTCCTTTGGAAACCACAAAGGGAAGAAACCTCCAGTTGAGCTTGAAGCCAAGGTCACTGAGAAGTTGGACAACATGATGAGTGCGGTGAAGCCGATTTTGGAAGCCCGCCAGGCCTGAGTTTGAGCTGTGCGACTTGAGTCAGGCTCTCCACGTCTCTGAGCTGGTTGCCTCGTTCATGGAAGAGACCTAAGTGTCACCCTTTAGAGTGTTGTGAAAATTCATGAGAAGCAGGACAGTATCTGGCACAGAACCTATGCGGTGGTTGCTGCTCTTATCAGCTCAGGGTGTGATGGTCAGGAGCAGCCTCTTACTATCGAAACATGGAAATGTGAGCCTCCAAAGAAGATCCCAACTGGGGAGCAACTGCCTACTGAGTGCACATTCCTCTTGGGATGTCTCCGATGCTGGCTGCCAACAGTTGGAATGTGTTTACTTCTCTTCTTTGATGACCCCTTATCACAGTCTGGACAGGCTACAGCTTTTAAATAATTTTACTCAACACCAAGGCAAAAGAAAAAGAAAATCATTCCAGAAAACCCAAAGAGCATCACTATCTCACACTTCTAAGGCTTAGGTTACCAATTTTCTAGCTTCAGAGGTTGCCGGGGATGCTTCCTGAATGTTCTCTGCCTTTCTCCACTTGGCAGGTGCCATGCCATTTCTGCCACAGAGGAGACATCTACTGGATGCCTTGGACATGTGCATCTGTATGTCAGTGTCTGCTTCTCTCGTTCCATGTGTAGAAAGCTGAGAGCACAATCCAAATGTTAATGTTCCTGAGAACAGTATTTCCCAGACTTCATTCTCTGGTGCATCACTCTTCCGGGTTTTGCCATATTCACATACCTCTGGTCATATTTTTTTGCTAAAAAATATCACTCAACTTAAAAATATTAAGTAGATTTATTAGAAAGCAACTCTATATCATATCAGAACTTATAGTCATGGTGCTGTAGAGTCACAAATACGATGAAAAAAGCGATGTTATTAAGTTCACCTGTTATGATTGTCCACTGAAGGCTCCCAAGGCTCTGAATCTGAGGGCTGCTCTCTCTTTGTTAAAAAGAGAAATTAGAATCCAGTGTTCAAGATAAATAACACCAAACTAAGATCTTCTCTTGACCTTACCAGAAAGATTCGTAAAATTTGAAAAAGACTGACTTTCTCATATGTGAGTCAGATCTTTATAGTAGTGTGTCTGAGAGCTACCCCAAATCCTCCATCTATTCTTGGGGAAATCCTGAATTCGAGTAGTGGTTCATAAACCTTTGATGTATATGAGAATCCCCAGAGGAGTTTATCAAACAAACAGAGTCCTGGGGCACACCTCAAAAATTCCAGATCAACACACTCATGTTCATAGTCATAACAGACACAAGATGGAAGCAACACATGCTCATGGATGGATGAGTGGATAGATACAATGTGGCTTATTATATACATGGGAATCTTATTCAGCCTTAAAAAGGAAGGACGTTCTGGGGCACCTGGGTGGCTCAGTCAGTTAGGTGACCAGCTCTTGAGCTCAGCTCAGGTCTTAATCTCAGGGTTATGAGTTCAAGCCCTATGTTGGGCTCCATGCTGGGCGTGGAGCGTACCTTAAAAAAAAAAAAAAAAAGTTCTGACACATGCTACAACATAGATGAACTTTGAGGACATTGTATTTACTACCTGGAGTAGTTAAATTCAGAAATAGAAAGTAGAATGTTGGTTGCTAGGAGCGGGAAGTGGGAAGTTGCTGTTAAATGGGGACATTTGGTTGTTTCATTTTTGTCTGTTACAAATAAAGCTTCCAGGAGCAATTGTGTATGAGTTTTTGGTTGAACATGAGTTTTCATTCTTCTGGAATAAATGCCCAGGAGTATAACTGGTGGGTCATATGGTTGTTTCTTGTTCAGTTTTTAAGAAACTGCTAACTTGTTTCTCAAAGTGTCTGTACCATTTTACATTCCCACCAACAATGTATGAATGATAGTTCTCTGCATCTTAGCCACCATTTGCTTTTACCACTGTTTTCTATTTTAGCTGTTATGATTTGGATATAGTGATATCTCATTGTGGTCTTAATTTGCATTTTTCTGTTCCACAGTCACAGTGTTATCCATTGAACCGCTGGCCTGCACTTAATTTGCATTTTTCTAACGGCTAATGATGTTCAACATATTCTTATGCTTGTTTGGCATCTGTATATCACCTTTGATGAAATGCCTCCTCATGTCTTTTGCCCATTTTCTAATTGAATTGTTTTTTGTTTTTTTTTTTTACCGTTGAGTCCTGAGAGTTCATTATATATGTTGGATTGGAAACTTTTGTGAGACATATGGTTTACAAATAGGTTCTCCTGGTTTGTAGCTTGTATTTTTCATGCTCTTAGTAAGGTCTTTTGGGGGGCAAAAGTTTTTAATTTTAATGAGGTCCAATTTATCAATTTTTAATTTATTTTTGATTTTTTTCCAATTTATCAATTTTTAAAATAGACCATGCTTTTGGTATCATGTCTAAGAATGCTTTCTTAAAAGGACTGTTGTAGAGCAGTTTTAGGTTTACAAAAAGTTAGAGGGTGGTACACGCATTTCCCATTTAGCCCCTGTACCTGCATATGCATGGTGTCGCCCATTATCAACATCACTCATCAGAATGATACATTTTTTTAACAGAAGATGAACTTCTATTGACACACCATGATCACCCAAAGTCCATAGTTTACCCTATGGTTCACTCTTGGTGTTGTACATTCTATATTGTTGGACAAACATATATTGACATGTATCT